CCGTCCCGACATGCCCGCCCCGTCTAGCGCGCCTCCCGTAGCCGCAATTTCTTGTTTGAATTGTACGAACTTCTCAAAGGTTGTGTTGTTTTGGAGGAAAGCCGCTTTGGGATTAGTGCCGCTTTACAAAAGCACAACGCTGAAGGAAAAACACTCAAGACGGCGTGTTACAACTAATTTGGAGTCAATGTCCTTTTGATGGCGGAGCTTGACGCGCTGCTATTGAAAGCCGCGCAAATCAATGTTTTGTTAGCAAGCGGTAGAAATTGCAAGGTTACCAAAGTTGCTTCTGGTTTAATATTATTGCCGATAAAACATTTGCTTTGATAACAGTCATAATAACAATGCAGAAAAGCAGCTAACTGTGGCTGGTTTGTGAGCTAACCTAGCATGTGCTTTCTAAAACGTTCGGTTTTCTGTTCTATTGGACAAACGCTTCATATTATAAATATGTGATCGGCGCACAGGAGCTCCTGGACGACAAGCCGATCAAACTCTAGCTAAACAAATCGTAAAAGCGGTCCCCAGTGACTGATTGTCTTACCGCTTCATAAAAACTTGTGCCATAAAGTCACTTGGGGCACCTTCACGATCCATTTGAACTTTTTCATGAGGTCTTTAGAGCGGATAAATAAAAGTGGGTGGATGCTGTCGCGTGTGTGGTTGTTTGATCGCACAATTTGGATGAGTTCTTAGTTTATGTCATGTGAGTCATGAAACTGAAAAATATCATACGGCTAGCATGAAACTGTATTTTCAAGAAATTCAGTGCATGACAACAATTAAAGTAAAATCAACGATAAACAGACCAATCCTGAAATTTCCCAAAAAGTACCGTACGTCTTTCATAGTTTATCCAAAAAGACATCTATCCATCCATTTTCTGACCCGCTTATCCTCACAAGGGTCACAGGGCATGCTGGAGCCTATCCCAGCTGTCCTCGGGTAGTAGGCGGGGTACACCCTGAAGTGATCACCAGCCAATCGCAGGGCACACATCGACGAACAACGCTCACACTCACCTAGCGACAATTTAGAGTGTTCCATTAACCTGCCACGCATATTTTTGGAATGTGGGATGAAACCGGCGTACCCAGAGAAAACCCACGCAGGCACGGTGAGAACACACAGGAGCGCCGGAGCCGGAATCGAACCCTACACCTGCGCACTGCGAGGCCGACACGCTAACCAGTCAATCACCGGGCCGCCTCCAAAAAGGCAACAAAATATAATTTGTTCCTGGTTAGCAATTAGCGCAATAAAGTTTTTTTTTAATGCCATGAACAAATATTTTTCAAATTAGCCCTAATAAACATAACTTTGGCTAGCTGGTGACCCTAGACTAGCAAGTCCGTTCTAAAATGCTCATACACAAATCTACAGATTTCCTTCAGGGAACCCATGAAGTATTTTCACCATTGATTAATCCTGTAGCTAACTAGCTAATCCTGGAGCTAGCTAGCAAAGCCCTCTAAAAGAATTTTAAAAAATAATAACAACAACAAACAACATGGGGTAGAGTGCTTGTTTTTTTTGGTGGTTCGATCGAAATACTGAACCCCTGGTTCTGCGTCGCTAGTTGGTGAATGAGGTAACACTGTGAAGCGCTTTGAGTACCCGAGGAAGAAAAGTGCTGTACGAGTGACAGTTCATTTTGCATGTTCCCTCAGGGGATCCATCAGTAATCTGTAGTGATTTTTAAGAATGATTGGTCACATAATAGCTCAGATAAAAAATAAAAAATAAAAATAAAAAAACAAGTGCTGCTAGCTAGTGAACCTAGCTTAGCATTCGCCTTCTTTTGTGAAATTCTCTTCAAGAAATGGTTTTACAAAAAGCTTAAATTTAAAAAAAGTATTTTGACTATTTATTCATGACAGAATACATCAGGTAAGCGGTTAACTCCAGCTGTTTAATGAACGAGACTCATTCAATTGACGCACATGCGACCATCTTAAAACGTTAAAACTTCGACTCTAGAATGCTGTTCGTGGAAAGTCGGAAGACATTTTTTTTCTGAAAATGTAACAGGTGTCAGTCATGGGCTGACTCACCTATGGAGTGTGCGCACACGCGCGCGCGCACACACACACACACACACACACACACACACACACACACACACACACACACACACACACCGTAGCCCAACCCCCTGGCCCTCTTTCACCTCAGTTCAAAGTGGCTGTGGCTGTCTAGCCTTGCCGTTTAATGTTTAAGTATTGGGAGCGGCCCCGAGGAGAGCAAATAAAAAGCCCTTTACACATGCCGGAGAGCAGTGATTCCAACATTTACTGTATTGTGACATTCCCATTGTGAGCTGCCCACAAAACCTCGGTCCTTTTTTTTTTGGCTTCAACTGGCCAGAGGAAAAGAGTGTTCGGGCAAGGTGAAAAGCCCTCCAACTCAATCGTACAAGTGCAGATGGTAAACAAGAAATGTGCGATGTCTTCCAACATTTGATTTTTCTATTCACATGACAAAAATAATAATAATTTAAAAATCGATTGTCATTTTCAGTTGACCGCAAGGGGCAAAATGGCGACCCCATTAAGATGGATGGAAACAGGTGGATTTTGTTGCTGAATTCATATTCCAAAGCCCCGAATTTTAATCAGAATACCATTTTCAGATTAGTGGAGCCGGATTGCACATATTGTAAAGAAACCTTTTGACTTGACTTCCCCTTGAAGTAGAAATGCAGCAACTTGTGAGAAAGAATGTAGTGATTCAACACCTGTACTTTAGTACAAAAAAAAATTAAATAATAAATAAAAAAACAAGTAAAGACTCTGAAACACACTTAAGTCCAAAAGTAAAACTGTAAAATCACACTGGCTAGCGTTGGCTTGACCTGAATGTCGTCCCAGAGCTTTGCTAAACGCCAAATTAGCAAGTGCTAACCGAAAAACGTCATTTAAATGTTGATTAAAAATAACTATTTATCCATTTTGACCAAGACTGAAAAGTGAAAAGTCATTCCAAAAAAAAATACACTCAAGTACAGCTACCTGAAAAGTCGACTGAAGTACGATAACAAGGTATTTGTACTTGGATACTTTTCACAACACAATGCTGCTGCTGCTGCTTGTGGCGAACAGGAAATCCTATTTGCCGCCAAGACAAACAACCCAGAAAGCCTGATACTACTTACATGTTTGTGCGCCATTATTCCCGCACTCGTAATCCGTCTAACAATGTTACAAAACATTCCGACATGAGGAGGCTTTAACGTGCTAATTGGGAGCAGGAGGAGGTGGGAGGAGGAGGTGGAGGCGACTCAAGTCAACGGCGCTACGCTCAACGTCCCACAACTTGGACGAAAAGAAACGATTCCTCAAAATTCGGTGATGTCAACTCACCGCAACCTCACCAAGCAACCACGCATGTGGCGTTTATCAGAAGCTAACGTTCTTAGCCAATGTTAATCAGTCCATCGAACAAATCTCAATGCAGCTCTCCTTACCTTTTGGCTTTGACGTGATAGCAGGGGGAGTCGCAACAGTGAGGTTGCTTGAAAGTGGCTTTGGATCTTCACCCGGCCGAGATGATCAGGTGACGCGTGGAGAAACTGTTTGGGGATGATTATGTAAATTAGAAGTGCAGAATGGCTCAAATTTCCATAAGTGCTCAGTCACGTTTATTGGTTGATTTCAGTGTATTCTTGTGTAATCATTACTGTAAAAAAAAACAAAAAACAAAAAAAGAGAGAGATGCGTTTGCAGAAAAGAAGCAAAAACCGATTAGCGGTCACATGCGACCTTCACAAGAATGGTGTAATAATGACCTCAATCCCTCAAGAAGTGTTTGAAGGGGTTGGGGGGAAGCTGCCTAACTTTTGCTGATTCACCTCCATTAGAAAAAAAACTGTGTAGGAATATTAATGTAACAAAGCAGGGAAAAACTGACACCATTTTACATGTTACGAAAGGCAGTTTGCATAAGAAGAAACTTTCTTTTTCTTCTATCTAAAGTGCAGACCTGCGCCAAGGCAGAATAAAAAAATTCAATTGACTCATCACTTCACAGAATTTTTTTGAAACAGATTTTAGGGTTTTTTTTCTACTAATTATTCTGAAACTACATCTGTTCAAAAATCCTACTGAATTGTCTGCGGTGTCCCTCAGGGCATCATCCACTGCAGCATCTCTATGGGGCCGAGGGGAGCGATCCGTCGCCGCTTGCCAAGCGCGGACGCCATCTTTTGGCCGCGGCAGACAACGTGGGCGAGTGGCAGGTTGGTCGGTGAGCCAACATGGAGGTCAGCCAGGATGAGCTTTAATGAGACGGCGAGCGCAACGCAAGATTGGCATTGGCCGCCACTGGCAGAGCCATGAGTGGCATCCAAACGACGTACGCACTTCCTGCTATTCGTTCCCCGTTGTACACTTGCTATGGCATACGTCATCATAATTTTAGACACTGATTCCATAAGGAAGCTGGGAATTTTTGTGCAGAATATTTTTTTGTTGAAATTGATTTTTTTTTTTGTTTTACTTCACAATCGTATTTGAATTTATTTTTATACTTTTGTTCCTGAAAAGAAAATCCAACGTATGACTATTTTAGTGAAACACATTTTTAATTGTATTATTATTATGTAACATTATCCCAAATGTTGTTTCGCTGATGCAACCAAATGCGGTTCCGACTGGTTAAGAGCTTGTTTTGAAAAGTGGAATTGAAATAAATCTGTCATAATTATGACGATGATGATGATGATTATAATTATGATTATGATTAGTATTATTATTATTATCATCATCATCATCATTATCATCATTATCATTATCATTATCATTATCATTATCATCATCATCATCATGATTATGCAGACCAAGAGAATGTGACTGGTGGGCCATTTGCGGCCCCAACCCTCAGTTTGGTAACCTCTGCTGTCACGAAATATTTAAAACATTTCAATCTGACCAGTCGGTGATATTTTTTTTGACTCGACAAGGGTAGGTTTTTTTTTGTTTTGTTTGTTTTTTTACTTTTCAAAAAGTGTACATTTTAAAGTAAGGTTCACTTGTATTGTCAAGTACAATATTTTAGTACGAGGGATAGTTTGAGGTGTTGTCAACATTTTGATAAATTCAAGTTAACAAAAGTACGGTACAAGTGGAAACCGAAGAAATAATTGCGGATGGAAAGTGGGATTCTTGGTTCCCTTTTTTTTTTTTTTTTTTTGGGTGGCTTTGACGCGCGTACTTTGCGCAAGGAGGACGCGCGCTGGTTTGATGTTGTCACGTTATGACCACTTTTGGAACGTTTGCACGAGTTTTCAAGTTCACGGGGGGTACAGTGGCAAAATGCTGGGCGAGTGGCTCTTTTTTTTTTTTTTTTTTTTTTTTACATATATAATTGATGTTTTCCCATGGAGGAGCCCCTCCCAGCGACGCAACACATGCAGGTGGAAGGAATCTTTTGCTTTTTGTGTGTGGGCTGGTGTGGGACTAACATGAAGAGGGCGAGCCAATCAAGTCCCTCCCCTGCTATAGATCGCTGCTATAATACAAAGCAGTAAAAAGCGGGTCGTCTCACACAGGCGGCTGCAGCTCGACTTGAGGATCCGGCGGGTTTCTTTTTTTTTTTTTCCTTATTATTATTTCCTTTCGTTGCACCTCCTTTCAAAGAGAAAAAAGGAAGAAGAAGAAGTAAGAAGAAGAGGGCAAAAACAAGACTCCTTGGATGTTCTTCCACCTCATTCTCATTTCCGCACCTGCCGTCTAAGAGAACCGGAGGGGGGGCGAGCGACAAGGGCACCGAGAGAGAACCGGCAAAGGCGCACCGAGAGGCGGCCACCTCGTGAAGGACACACACCCCCCTCTCCCTCCTCCTCCCTTCCCCCCCTCCCTCCCCGTTCATCAACATGCTGCTGTGGACCAGAATAGTCCTGGTCGCCGTCGTCTGCTCGTCCTTGGCGGTGTCCCCCGGCATGGGATGCGGACCGGGCCGGGGCTACGGCCGCAGGAGGCACAACAAGAAGCTGACACCTCTCGCCTACAAGCAGTTCATCCCCAACGTGGCCGAGAAGACCCTGGGGGCGAGCGGCCGCTACGAGGGCAAAATCACGCGCAACTCGGAGCGCTTTAAAGAGCTCACGCCCAACTACAACACGGACATCATCTTCAAAGATGAGGAGAACACCGGCGCCGACAGGCTCATGACTCAGGTAAGGTGCACGCGCACGCACCGGCGCCACCGAAACCCAATTTTCCCCCCCTCCTTGAACGCAGCATCCCTTGTCAGCCCGATTGCGCACCTCCGAAGTGAAGTCTTTTTAGCCCCCTGGTGAACTCTGCGCATTATCCACGGCTCCACGCAGCCGAAACCGACTTTGCACCTTTTATTTATTTATATCATATCTCTTTTTTTTTTCTATATATGACCACAAAAAAAAAAAAAAAAAGTATCAACGCGGCAGCGCGCATGCGGAAAGTCAGGGACGCTCTGCGTTCATGCTTGGTGACAGTGGATTTAAAATATTCATTGCAAGCCTTGTTCCTCGTGTCTATATTTGTATCCTTCTGCAACTGCTCCCCTTTCATAAAAATAGTGAGGTGGATATAATTTGGAGCTAAAATTGGCTTGAATTTTGCGAGGATTTAAACAAAACTTGTTTTTGGGTGGCCTTTGTGCATTATTCGGTGGGGGGGAAGAGGGCGGCGGGGTCGGGTCTGGGTCACTATCCAGACGTAAAATGATACAAAATTAAATTTGGCGTGACTTTTTTTTTTCCCGCTGGTGAATTATTCACAAGATTGATTTGACTCATGGTCGTGATGTGATGCTGGTGGTCCTGATGAGGGTCAGACGGGAGCTGAGGAATAAGAGATGAAATATTCACCGTGCGTGCGGTCGCTCGCTCGAGTCTCACCCCCGCGTTCCTCCCCCCCATTATCGCATCTCCTCGCCGGGGGCGACGCACGCAACTCGAGGGACGGTATGGTCCAAATTACGGCCCAGAAAATGAGTCTGGCATTTGGAAAAAAATGTATAAAATGACAGCAGAGCACCAAATCCACACTTGGCATCGTCCACCAACCCGCCCGTTGCGCTTTTTTTTTTTTTTAATGGTAAGCCGCTAAAATGGTTGGCGTCTTTCTTCCAAAATGGTTCCAGTCAAGACCAAAAAGTAGCTACTTTGTGTGTTCGTGGCATAAGCACGGTCACATGGGGATTATTAAGATGTCTACAGTGCCGGTGTTGCGCGGCTTTACGCACGAAGCCGCTCGCCGTGGGACTTTTACGCATGAATGTGGTGGGGCTTAAATGGGAGTAGGGGGGGAAAAAAAGCATTTTGTGTTGGCGGACGGAAGCCGAACGATCGACGTAAGCTTCCTAACGGGAGTGCACTAAATAAAGTCATTAGTCGCATCGTTTTAGCTTCGATTCACGCTAAGTAAACGGCCGATCGGTCGTTTTACGGACGGACTTTCTTTCCTGTTTTATTATGAAGCGAGACTTAATTGACAGGAGCTAATTAAGCGTGAAATCACCCCCCCCCGCCCCACACACCCGCACGCCCACCCCTACGCGGTTGTCAAAGTGGCTGTTTGCGCTGACAGGTAGCTGAGAAGTGTTTCCTCCAACCAAATCATTTGTGAAACAGATTAAGAGGTTGGCTGTTGGACAACTTTAACCCCCTCCTTTCCGGAGCTGAAATTCGGGGGGGGGGGGGTCTTTACGGTGGGCTGAGCAGAATTGGGCTTAATTTGCGGCACACGACCTACTGAATTAATAAATAGGAGCGCTTTACGGCTCACTTAGAATGTCTCTCTCTCTCTCTCTCTCTCTCTCCACCCCCACGCCCCCCCTTGCGCCCCCTTTGCCTTCTGCGTTTAATGCAGCGCATTCTACAAGTGTGATATCGTCATAAAGCTGCAGCCGCTGATATATGTGCGCGCACTATAGTAGAAAATGGGACCTTGGATTTCACAAGTCTGTCATTCAGCAGGCGTCTTACGGAGGTGCGTCACGACCTCCCCCGCCTCCATCACCCCCACCACCCACCTCGATCCCTTTGCGGGGCTAGAATAATGAAAGTGGTCCCATGAAAAGCCTCTTTGTGATGTTTTTATTTGACATATCACTCGAGTGTGGAAAAAAAAAGTTGTCTTGCAGAAGGTGAAGCATCCTCGCTGAGCCCCGCGGGGGAGGGGGGACGGGGACTTTTACTTATTGGCCAAACTACAAATTCATTCCCAAGGATCACCTGCTGCCCTTATCATATGAGCGGTGCTGCGTTCGGTGGCACGTAATCATAAAAGTGGAGGGGGCCGGGGGGGGGGCTGCTCATACCTTCCCATGCAGACCCATATGTTATAGAGCAGTGAAGCGAATGTGGGCTCTTATAAATATTTCATTGCGGGCATTGCGGGCTCCCACCCCCCCACCCCCTTTATCCAAGATGTGCCCTCTGACGGTGCTCCTTGGAGATGAGAAATAAAAATGCAAGCTCACATTTAAACATCACACCAGCCCTCAGCCATGCAGACAGCGCTAGAGAGGAACATAGTCTGGAGACCCTTTGCATATAACTCAACCTACGAATCTTAAAAGAGTAGCTCTCATGGTACATCCCCAAGAAGAACATTATGTAAGCCAGGGTATTGAACTAAACCCAATAAAAGCTCTCACAGGTCCCCAAAGTGAACCTCCAAACTACCATTTATATCCATGTACCCATTTGGGCCAAGTACTGGACTCAAATTGTACATTTTACAGCATGAAAAGTATACAGGTATGTTATTAACTGTTCCATTGACCCTGGAACCTGATCATATGATAAACTGTCCACTGTAATAACCGCTGTCCCTGAAAGGGTTCATCTCAAAGCAATCAGAATCAGCAATAAGCAACATGGGGGGGGGAGACAGAATGAGAGGCCACCACCCCAAAATGTAGAGTAAAGGGAGAACCAGTAGAGTCCATTTTGTCCCCCAAGGACGATTCAGTACCCAACGGCTGTGGTCCCCAATCACAGGGCCTCGGCCCGTTTGGGACCCGTCCGCACAGAGACAGGCCTGCGAGCTGTGAGCAAATTTACTCCATCAAAGGTGACGTGGCAAATATGCGCGACTCTAGCAAATCGGACTCCTCATTTTAACCTTTGTTGGAAAGTTGAAATAAAGAGAATCCGCCAAGAAATGAAAGAACCGGGGGGGAAAAATGCGAGCAGAGTTTGGCTGGCCACGTAAACATTCGCAGTTTAGTCTCTAATAACGAGCCGGCAGCCAACGGATGAAAGCAGCAATCAATCGTGTCACATTAGCACGTAGCAATGATGCTAACGCCGTATGTAAGATCATAATTTCAGTATTATTACGTTTACATTATATATTTGTTATTCAGAATTGGTTCTTTTCGTAGTAATTCACTGTTATTTTATTTTATTCTATATTTGTTGTATGAAAGGAATTGGAACAAAAAAGGTAATAAAATGTTGAATTACTCTATAATTACTTTTGTTCTCAAGTACCGTTGTTTTAACCCTTTCGGGGACAGCGGTTACTACAGTGGACAGCTTCATCATGTTATCAGGTTACAGGGTGCATGAAAGGGTTAAAACTGGAAATTTAAAAGCAATGAGGAAAAAAAAAAAAGATTGCCGGTCGCATGTACTTGTCTCAACCGGTCCGTGACACAAAAAATGTTGGGGACCACTGCCCCACGGTTTTGAACTAAACCCAATAAAAGCTTTCCCAGGCCCCCAAAATGGGCCTCAAACCTACCGTTTACATTCTTGTACCGCAATTGTCCAAGTTCCACACTCCAATAGTAACATTTCCAGCACAGGTATGCTCCTAATCTCAAACCCAACTGTACAAAAGTAGTAGTGAGAATGATATCCAACTCGTGTTTTGCCCTGCCTTACACCTGGATTTTGGCCTGTTGTACTGCCGCTTCTCTTCCACTTTTGTTTGGTGGTGTGCCGTGAGATTTTGCTCATGTCAAATATGTGCCTTGGCTCAATAAAGGCTGGGAAACACCAGTCTACTGTCAAGGGTACAAACCCTATCCGAAATTGGGGCACAGCATGGGACAATCTAGACTACGTAACTGTTCCTTTTCCTGCGTCAAAACGTTACAGACCCCAATCAGAAGAGCAAGTTCTGAGTGTGCCAAAAAAACTCTTTTCTGGGGGCAAATAGGGTAAAAAGAACATTCCCAAGCCGTATCACTTAAGGCAAATATGGGCGCAGTAAGTGACAATTTCTGTCTCTCGAGGTTCTTTTGAGACTAATGTAACGCCAAAGAGGGGCCGAAAGGATTCAAGGTGTGTTCACAAGCTGCAAAAGTCAAGTGTTGATTAATTAAATGGATTAGCAGAGTCTGTTGATGCAGGTACCATCGAAGGGGGATGGTAGGTGCCGATTTGGGTCCCTACAAGGTACAAACAAGTAATGCTACTAATTCGATTCCATACGTTTTTTTGTGACCAGAAATAAAGAAAATGTCAGACATAGGGGTATATTGGAAGTAGGCGGCGGGTTCGGTCCCAGGTCAATGCTTGTACCGTTCCTCGGGTCAAAATCCTCCAGATCCCAATTCTGAAGTCAAGTTGGGGGTCCTAAAAGACACTTTTCTAGGATACAAACATCATATGTCCCTGGGTAGGAAGACTCTGGTGACAAGGGTACAAATCCAACGCTAGAGGAAATAATGGGGGCAATCCAGTCCCTAAAATACAAAATCTAACCAGGCTATAATTATTTGGACTGTTAGGTCATTATTTGCACCTTTTCAAGTGTCAAAAAAGCTCCAGGACCTTAATCTAAAAACAAACTGAAGGTGCTGAAGGACTATTTTGGGGAGTTGTTCACTGAGTGTAAAAAGCCTACTGGCGAGGGTACAAACTCAACCCTGCCAGAAAAAAGGGTAGATCCGAATCTATTGTAAACTTCTAGAACTCTAAAGGAGCATTTTCTTGTGGTAAACAGGATACAAGGTATGTTCCTGGGGCAGTAGGAGATTCGTGTCACGGATACTAAAGTCAGGCAGCATCCTATATGGTCAGGCAAAAATGTATCGGTTTGTTTTTTATACTTTTGAGAGCTACAGCAGGATGTGGCCTTCAAATGTATCCTTCATGAATGGATTCTGAACTATTTGTAGGGCCAAAAAAACATTTGGAGGTACCAGCTCAAGTGAGAGGACATTCCACTCCTTCTCGGTTGACCATTAGTTCCGCAATGGGGGGGATTGCAGTTTTTACATGAGCAACGTGGAATCATACAATATCTACGCAGCAGCATCAACAAATTCAGTCAGCGGTGTTGCATGTGCTTTAAATCCAACTCACCTTTGTCTTGTCCGCAGCGGTGCAAAGACAAGCTGAACTCGCTGGCAATCTCAGTGATGAACCAATGGCCTGGCGTCAAGCTGCGGGTCACCGAGGGCTGGGATGAGGACGGCCACCATTTCGAGGAGTCTCTCCACTACGAGGGCCGGGCGGTGGACATCACGACGTCGGACCGCGACAAGAGCAAGTACGGCACCTTGTCCAGGCTGGCGGTGGAGGCTGGTTTCGACTGGGTCTACTATGAATCCAAAGCCCACATCCATTGCTCGGTGAAAGCAGGTATGCCGCAAGATGATGACGAAGCTTTTTTGATCAAACCCAACCAGTATTATTACGATTCTTATGAACATGACGGAAAAATAAGTGCCATTTTTTTCGACATTTTTTCCAAAAACGTACCTATTTTGAGAATCTCGGTTCGGGCGGCAGTATTATTGTTTCAGTTGAACTGAAAAGTTAAATTAGGCAAAATGAGACTCTGATACACATTAAAAAAAAATAATAACAATTATCCAAATGATCTTGAATCATAATCTAGTTTCTAAATAGATTGTGAAGATTTTTGGGGGCTACATTGCCATGAAAAAGTATTTGCCGCCTTCCCGATTTCTGTATTCTTTGGATATTCATCACACACAAATATATATATTTTTTAATCCAAACCTGTCTGTCCCTATGTGAAAAAGTAATTGCCGCCGCAACCTAATAATGGGTTGTGCCACCCTTGCCACCCTTCGGAGAATTGCTTCAACTACGCCATGGTTTGCAGGGTTTTCTAACATGAATTGATTCACACCAAAACATCTCAATTGGGTTCAAATCTGGATCCATGAGCGCTTGAGTTTGAGGGCGTAAACGGATTGTCAAACATTCTCCTTCAGGGTTTTCTGGTAGACAACAGAATTCATTGTCCCATCATTCACAGCAAGTTGTCCTGGTCCTGAGGTAGCAAAGCAGCCACAGATCATCACATTGCCAACACCATGATTCACTGTTGGCATACTTCTTTTAATCAAATGCTGTGACATTTTTACCCCAGACGTAACAGGTCACACATCTTCCAAAAAGTTCAATTTTTGACTCATCAGTCCCGGCCAGCGAGGTCTAGAATTCTTTGGGTATTGTT